TACTATTGAAATTACTAAAATCTCCACAAAACCCTCTTCTATTGTAAGACATGTTCACTAGTTCAAATGCAGTTATTATTATTTTTCCTGTTTACTTTCTTTTTTGTTTACATTGCTATAATTAATTTTATAATGAATGTTCAAATTTCACTAGTTGGAATTATGAGTCAATTGAAGCTAGACCACCATGGAAAACCTGGAAGCACTGGATGGGTGTTTCGTCCTATTGTGGGACTCCTCAACAATGCGCATCCACGATCCCATGTCCCTATCCGCGGAATTCGAACCCAGGACCTATCAGCCTCACGCGCGAGCGCCTAACCTCTAGACCACTGAGTTGGCTGGCATCCAATGGTGTTCATGTCTAACTTCAACCAATCCACGAAATCGCGCTACCGTACACCATTGTCTTCAGCCAACTGATATCTCACAACAGACTTGGTCGAACTCTACTGGTCACTGCTTCTCACTAGAACTCCAGGAAATCCCGCTTAAAGTCAGTTACTAATGGATGCACACTGTTGAGGAGTCCCATACTAGGATGTAAAAAAAATTCTAAATTAATTCAAATTAAATACGATTTATTATTAATAAATAGTTGGTATTGTGTTTTCTTTTATATTTAAATAACAATTTAAATCATTATTCAATTATATTTTTAAAGAATTTTAATAGAAACAACACCTAACTGTCATTGATTTATATTAAATTTCATTGTTACTAAGCAAAAAATTACTAATCACTAATTTAAAAAAAAACAAGGAGAAAGAGAGAACACTAATTCACTCTCTAACTTGTAATATCTCGACTAGTATAATGAGTGGTAACTCTTGACAACTATTCATGAACCAATACGATACATATATTTTTATTGTATAATTATTAAGCAGCAAAACTATGCATATTCATGTTCCTCTTATTATAAGCTTCATTTTCATCCATAGACTATTATTACACGATTTACCGTTCTTAAGTTATGTCCAGTCTACTAATTACAGTCTTCCACATTCACAGCCACTTTGTGGCTAGATCTTATACAAATGTTATTTTCGATCTTAGCGTACGATGTGGTCTGTTTGGTTTGTATATAAACCTATTATGTTTGAAATACATGATTCATATCGCGGAGGCTGAGATTGGTGTTGTGGAGTCAACAGGCAGTGGTATGCAGGAAGAATTACCGATAAGGAATTTAGACTTATCGTACGGGTTTACGCATCATTGGTTCGGTCGATAAATCAATGTTCTTTAATTGGCAGTATCATTACGTAATACATTAATAGGTCACAAGGCCTCAAGCTATAAGATGTATAGAACTATTCTAACAAAATAATGACTGATCGTTTAATCCAATTAAACCATCATTTATATGTGGTTGGATCAACGGTATGATTTTTAGATTGTTTATAGAATTTATTCATATTATTTCTGTGCAATTAAGATGGTAATATATATATGGGTTACTTGTTGGGATAAAAAATCGATGAGTTTACCAATGGTGAATGGGGTGTAATTAAGTGTTTCTAACTGATATTTCATTTTCTTTTACTCGTCAGGGTTAGAGAAAAAGTTGTTAGTCACTGAATTGCTTCATTCTAGAAATGTACTGTAGTTTAGCTAGTGACAGAGGTTTATCTTATATGAAATAAGGATTCGATCTTAGTTCATTATCATTAATTAGTCAATAAAAAATAACTCCTTAAAAATCGCTAGTGACTGGCTTCAGGAGGTATTTCCTAGAAATCTACTCGGAAGCTGTGACTAATCGAGTTCAACTGGGTCTGTTGTGAGATAGTAACTCACTGAAGACAATTAAATTATAATCTCACCTAGGATTTTTGTGGGTTTCAAAAAGTTTTTTCTGGTTTTTAATCATGATTATCAGTTTTTCGATTGTGTTAAGATATCTCTATATCATACCATTAGTTTCAATGTGGAAATATTCACACTATATAGCTATGAATTCTTCTTATGGAAAACTCATTTACTGCCTATAAAATCATCTTTATTCATTAAAGATTTAGTTAGATGGAGTTACAAGAAAATAGATAAAAACAGATTATGTATGAAAATCGATATGTAGTTTCACATTCTAGCTTCACCGATTCACTCATGATTTAATCAATCTCTAATAAAATTGATTTATTTGGGTCTTCACAATAAATGAAGTAAATTAATGTAAAAACTTATTGATACACATGTTATTTAGAATCAGCATGTTTCATGAATGGATCAATGTTAGGCCACCATTGAAAACCTGGAAACACTAAACGGCTTTTCTGTCTTAGTATAAGACTTCTCAGAAGTGTGCATCCACGATCTCGCACACGGGACTCGAACCCAGGACCTTCGGTCTCTGAGGAGTCGCATACTAGGACGAAACGGTCTAGGTTTCCTATGGTGGATTAACATTGATCCATTCATGATATCAATTGTAACTTAACAATCTCCACAATCCTATACTGATATTTTACATATGTTCTACATAGTCGTTTTCACTCTACGGTGGCTTAATTATAGGAAATTTTTACACCATAATTTTATGTATTCCAAACACCATACAAAGATGATGTAATTTTCATGTTATATCTGATGAAGGTCATTTATTTGTGAATTTCGTTCAAAAATGTTTGAAAAAATCCATTTTCTCTATTTTGATTAGCTCGTCTCTAAAGTACAGTTTCTATCCAACATGGCTTTTTCTTGTTTTTCTTTAATGTTAATTGTTATAACTTGTGACGTGTGTGCCCTGGTTGTTGTATAACGTAACGAGCAGTGAATTATCGATCGAACCTGTGACACATAAAACCCATATGAGCAGTCTAGAGTCCTTATCAGTCCTGCTTCCTATCTAGCCCAGCCAGTTAAAGTCCAGAACACCAATCTTAACCTCCGCAATATGAAACGTGATTTCGTCTGATTCTTTAGCTGACTGTTCTTTTAGACTATAAAGATTGTATTTATCGTTTATATTTCCACTGCAGTTTCTAAATGATATGCTCGTTTTTCATTAGTTCTGTTTTTACACATTTTTTCTCATATGCTCATGGAAGCCAACGAAATTTAAAATTTTTTATTAAATAAGCATCAAAATATTCGGTGTTGTCCGTCATTCTACTTCTCATTTTTACTGAGTTAGTAGATTTGTACAGGCGACAAGTTAAGAAGGAGGCTTAGGTTGATCAGTGTATCAAAAGTCAGATTACTCTGAATATTTCTCTGTCTATCAATATTTATACGTAAGACAGCCATAAGCACAGTTAGTTGTCATTTGGATAACCTTTTGTGAATTTCACCATGCTAGTCGCGATAATTTTACATTTTACTTTCTTCACTATACTCAATAACATTTGTTTTGATTGGGATAAAGTAAAATTGGATGTTTCAAGTTTCAGTTCGTTGTCCATTGCATAATAAATCTACACATGGAGGAATATATAGATGCTCCAATATATATTCGTTTAGTTTTATGTCACCAAAGTGAATTGTCTCCCTCGACTGAACCTATAAAAGTGTAATTGAAAGTAATTTTGAATAAAATGTTGGTTGGACACTGTGATGTTACTATGCTGTATTTATTCTTAATATACAAAAACGTTTTGGTAGTATCACATGTTAGTAAAAATGACCCGGGTTATACATTTTTCTTGCCTTTGTCAATGTACTCATACCGAGGATACTGAGCAACTGTAAGAATGTTATCATTATAATATCTGAAACTGGTTAATTTATTTTAGAGATCACAGTAAAAAAAGAAATAATATTGCTAAGAATAGTGGTGATGAATTAACTGCAACGTTTCTGCAGTCGAATATGAATAAGCTCTGAGAGTATTTGTGTGTTTTATCAATTGCCTAATGAAACCATATTCATGGATTTTGGACTAATTATTTTTTTAGAAGTTCGTTTTAGATTCTATGACAGAACTACCAAGTGGCTTAAAGAGGATTTGAGTACCTATTAAAGCTCTAGTAAAGCAAGCTAGCTAATATAAAATATCCTCCAGATGATTTATTTCAAGCATACTGGGTTTATATACCAACCAGACAGATCACAATGTACCATAAAATATGAAACAACATTTGTACAAGAATTAGCTGTGAATGAGGGAAGTAGTAATGAATAAACAGGGAATAATTCAAGAATGGTAAATCGTATAATAATAGTTCATTGGTCAAATTAATGCTCACAATAAGATGGTCATGAATATGAACAGTTTAGTTACTTACTAATTATACAATAGAAATATACGCATTGTATTGGTCCATAAATGGATCCCAAAAAGTTACCATTCACTATTCTTATCGGGATATAACATCAATCTTTTGTCATTCACTTCAAATGAACCATCAGAATTCTAATATACACTAAATTATTCAATAAGAAATTCATTGTAAAGTCTCATCAGGTTGAATTAAAACAACAATATTAAACGATTGAATCTAAGTCTTTGACAATATCACAGAGAAAAGATTAACTTATCATTTTGTTGGCAAACAAAAATTGGTTTTAATTCACTTGGTATTGTTTTACTTGTTTCTTCCCATTAATGTTAAGGATTGCAATTGATCAGTCTGTTATTGGTATATGTGCATACTGTGCGTATGCCTCGATATTGCCTTAATCTACAAGCATTATAATCAAAGATGGATAGTGGCTAGCAGGACGCGCATTTCCTCCTATTTAGGACTCGTCAGCTGGATGTACCTGCATCTCAGAGTTGATGTTTACTCAGTAGCTAAATGGATAACACGATGTCGTTTTAAACGAACGGCACTGGATTCGAGTCCCAGAGTGAACATCAACTCTGAGATACAGGTACATCTAGCTGACGAATCCCAAATAAGGTAAAACGCACGTCCCGGATTCCACTGCTAGCCACTATTCATCTTTGCTTGTAATGCTTGTAAAAATTTATTTTATTTTTTTAATTTGACGTATGTTTTTTGTTCCTAACGTTTACACTAAAATCGTTGTAATTTTTTATACATTTTGTTTAGGATATGGATTTATTGATTTTGTCTCTGAAGATGCTGCCAATGAAGCATTACAACAAATTAAAGAAACTCATCCATCATTTACAATTAAATTTGCAAAGGTATGATTAAGTGAGCTTTGTTATTGTTGTTGCTATTCTATTTAACATGGTCTTACTAGTTCTGTTTCTCTTTTTCACTAATTATTAGTACATAATTTTAAAAAATGCAAATCATTCAAATAATTTTATCAGAATGGGGATTTGTGGAAATTGTAGTAGTTTTAATAGTTGAATTCATGAGTCGACCTAAGCTGGACCACCACTGAAAACCTTGAAGCATTGAACGACCGTTTTGTCTTAGTATAGAACTCCTCAGTAGTACACTTCCTAGATCCCACATGTGGGACGTTTTGCAGTTGCCAAAGCCTGTCATTGATCATATAAAAACTATATATATGCGGTCCTAAACTAACCACTTGAGTGGGAACTCTAAGAGTGATTAGGAAGTTTTTATTGGCTAAATCAAGTCAACGATTTGTACACAACTTATTCATGAATATATGTCTATCCACTGGGAGAGTACAAAAATATCCCTCGCCTAAATTTCTAGAGCCTCGGAAACTCCTGGAAATAGTTTATCAGCGTTGAACAGAGGCATCGTAGAAACATCTAGGAAACGTAGAATCATATATTATAGTATCGACTGGATATTTACATATACTGCTACTACATTTATTATGGTCCCAAAGATTTCCAGAAGCCCAAGGTCGTATACGACTATAAATACCCTCGTTTTTTTCTGTACATAAACTAACCTTGAAGTAAAGCTCTTACTCGCATTTTGCTCCCTCTCTATTGTTCAAGTTGACGTGTATAAGCAGTTGTGTTTGTAGAAACCGTCTGGGCAGAGATTTTAGATGTATTGATAGCAAGACTTATCAACATCTCCTTTTCAAAAAAAAAATTAAGCGGCATTTTCAGTCAATAGAGTATTTCTGTTTTCTTTGAATGTTAAATCAACTCCTGAGTCCATCAGCACTTTTCATTTATTATTTGGTTCACTTCTAATTGACCCAGTATATCATTTTATAGTTTATATCGCGAACTGATTTTAGTTAAACAATCGTTGTTAACGAGGAACCACTAGCAAGCCGTTTCATCCTAGTATGAAACTTTTCAACAGTGAATAAAATTTTCTAATGACTGTGAGTTGTCTAAAGGGTGACTTTCCAAAAAATATCATACTTAACTGATTATTGTGCATTTTCTCTTAGATATAGTTAAGTGAAATTTGTATTTTCACTACATGCATGAGGTTGGACGAAAACGCTGAGAAAATACAATATCTTTAGAGCATTTTCATAAAAAAATTTGGAAACTTATTGAGTATCATTTAAAGAGATAACATTTAGCATGGAGGTGATTGTAATGATGGTGATTTAGTTAGAAACAGTTACCGCTTTACATACTTGGAGATTGGCACTGATTCTGATGGTTCCAACATAGAATCCTCAAAATGACCTCATCTCTGAGTTTTATACATTACAAGATAAATACGGTGTGGTGAAAGTTGGTATTTAGTTACTGATTCACAGTAAGCAGTCGTGAGGAAGCCTAGGACCCAGGTATTATTTTAAATGTTATTCATCACAACACAACTTATCTTCAATTTTGAGGCAACCGATTAATGCTCACCTCGTTACTCACTGTCATATTTAGAAACCTTACTGCTGAACTATTTAAATCAAAACCAACCTCCTCTAACATTGATATATCTAGGTCACTTATTTATTGTGGCCTATACCATGTGTTTATTCATTCCTTTAGTGCGAATAGTATTTTATCAATTAAGATATAGTATGTTCACCAGTCTAAGTGACTTAACATTACAAGCTAATTGTTTTTTAAACATTTAACATCAAAATATGATGTATCATAATGCCAACTTCATTGATCAGCTCTACTTAGCACTACGAGCTGGACAGAAATGGCAACGTTTACCACTACTCAATGATCAACTAGTGTAAACTCTGTGTTTGAATAGAAAAAGTAATCTTGAAAACTAACAGTAAATAATGGTGAAATTTTAATTTACATTTTGTATGTCAAATGTATTTCTTTTTAAATATTGCTGTAATTTTGTTCAAAAAGGTTTTGTACTTTCTTGTTGTTGATGTGTTAAGGTTTGTAAATGATCAGTCTCTTTATGGCATCTTGAAAAGATCACTTTTATATTGTCATTATGATTATGAGTTTTTATCAAAGTTAGTCTGATGCTAAAGTAGTGGAAATCAGGGCATCTTCTTCGTACTATTTAGAACTCGTCAGCTGTTTGTGTCTATATCTTGGTCTTAATGTTCACATCAAGACTCAAACTGAATACCTTTCACTTTAAATATCAACGCGTTACATTGGTGCAATTGTTATCACTTTTTATGTGGAATAATTGTGAAATAAGTAGAGAGGATATTCGTTTGGGTTTTGAAAATAATTCCAATTTACCTCTTCCTCTCTATTCATACATTATTAATCTGCACTAAATCTTTGCTGATAATTAATTTATCTTACTAATCCACGCTCATAAACACTTGTACTCAAGCACACATACACACAAACCTTTGTTCTTGAAGTCAGTATTCCATTTGCGCTATTTTATGCAATGATTGTTTACAGTTTCTCTATAAAGACCCTTTACCGAGTCTTGTCAAGTCTTAATGATAAAGCTAATCATTGATATGCTTATACACAGACACACACAAACTAATGTATCAGTAGAGCAGATTAAATTCCTTCAACTTCAAGTCAATACTAGTTTAACCTGAAATAAGCGATCTTTATTTGGATATTTCAACTTTCGACAGGATTTGATAAATTTGAAGGTAATGACTGTATTCGAGAAAAATTATCTGCATTAGATCCTCCATCTAACAGATGGTTGCGTCATCTGTAAACAATTAAAAGTCAGTTAGGCGATTATATTGAGGGACCTGAAGTGCTTGAGCACAATCACTTGAATGTGTACTTCTGAGGAGTCACAAACTCGAGTAGTAGGAGTTGTTAATTGCTTCCTGATTCCCAACAGTTGGATGGGTGATAAAGGGTTCCAGATTATAAATTCATCTGTTCTCGTGTTCATTTTCTGAAATAGTGTTTCCAGTGGTTGTATCTACACATGGTACAATGCAGGCTTGTAAATTCAATTTTCCAAAGGTTGGCTGTAATGAAGACATAGATGTGTTGTGACTCTAAGGCCAATTAGTTATCATGTGCTTTATTTGCCAATCAAAATACCACTTATTCAATCTTAGTACTGTGCTAAAACAATGACGCTCAACTGGTATGAACAGGCTAGCGTCCTTATTGGCACTTTGTTTGCCTAGCCCGTCCAACTGAGTTCAGAACACAAATGACAGCTTCCACTATGTGTACTTGGTTTATATATCAGCCAAACAGACTGCATCACACCATAAACTAGGAAATAACATTTATACAAGATCAAGCCAAAAGGTGGCTGTGAATGTGAGAGGCTGTAATCAATAAACTGAACATAAATTAAGAACAGTAAATCGTATAATAATAATAATCTTTAGATCAAAATGAAGCTTAAGGGGAATATAGAGTATACAAAATCTAGTTACTGAACGGTTATGCAATAGGAATATATATATATATATATATATATATATATATATATATATATATATATATATATATATATTAGCCGATTAATAGTTCTCAAAAGTTACTTATAATTTAATCTTCGCTAGGATATAACAAGATGAACAGTAAGTTCTGCTATTAATTTTATTTATTCATTTTAACACATAGATATTGTTACAAGGAGGCACCAAATAGATATGCGCCACACAAATCTCATCCGATATGTGTGAGGGCTGTGATACTACCCGGGTGCCCAAACCGAAGCAGGTGGTGTTTTTAGGAGGCAACACCCCGAGTCTTTACCTAAAGGTCTGACCTACAAGGCAGTGGAGCATCGTGAGGAGATGCAGTCCCATGGTAGCCGATGACCAACGATTGGTTCATACGCCATTCGTTCCCTCAGGATACTGGAGCCCATGTGCAACATTGGTTTAGAATGGAGGTTTTCCAACTCCTCTAGGTGGACTCTCCATGTCCACCAACCCGGTTAAAGCGCCGGACATTCGCTTTTCGTCCTCTCAATTTCGTAAACAACACCCTCGCCACGAGAAGGCAGTGAGTAAGACTTCCCTGGCAGAGGCTATATACGCGTGGCCATGTGAGAGCATTTTGGGAGGGAGAGCGGACTCTCCCCACTCTCGGACGTACCAGAACATTTGAGGGCTCTGCTATTGATTTCTGCAAAGTTCTCTATCAAATTCATTCTGATACTAATGTCTTGTTAAAGATTACGTCAAGCTTAAGAACTCGATTGTAAATAATATCTTGAAACACATTCATTCCAAGATAAATTCACTGTCTAATGAAAACATAAAATTTATGATCAGTAGTCTAGAAGTAGTATTATTGTAAAATGAACTAATATCATTTCAAAGATCACTAAAGAATCAACTAAATATCAGTCAGTAGTCTTAAACCAATTGAATAAAATTTTAGAATTAGAAAAACAAAATAAAGACTTAACTTTATTTTATATTTCATAATCGATAGAACAAATATTACAATTTGAAGATTACATCATGATTTATATATATATATATAGTTTCTATCGATGGATTCTAATTTAAGTGGAGGGTAATCTGTATTGGACATTGAATCTTATTTGTTTTTTCAAACCAAAAAAAAAAACAAAAATGATCAACCATATTTTATCACAAAACGGTTTGGTTTAAATTTAGTTCTTTATTTTTTTTTCTTTGGAAAAATCAAATTCTCATAACAACAACAACAACAACAGCGATAGCAACAACAGCAACAACAGATAAAGCCTTAGAAATAGTAACATTTTGTTTGTTTAAATTAACATTGTAATATCACGTAGGTATTTTTGAATATTTCAAATTTAAATAGTAATAACTTAGTTTAATCCATTGTTGTTGTTGTTTTTTTATTTCACTAGAGAATTGTCTATTCATGAACATAAATGAGAAATCAAGATAAATAAAACCAAATTTTGTTTG